CAGGAACTGCTGCAGTGTAAGCAGGCAGTTCACAAAATAATTATTACAGACAGCATGGGATTTGTGCTTGGAGAATCACAATATGGAGAGTAGACCCACACCAAAGTCTACGTACTGTACGTATACACACATACACACACGCTCACACACCCTCACGCTCACACACCCAGGCATCAGTGTTCAGTTAAGCTTAATGAAAGAGCTTCACTTCAAGGAGAGATGTCAGGTCCGTGCATGCAGTTCTGCCGTGCTCCTGCACGCTGTCGTCTTCTTTCCGCCTTTATATTCACACAAACACACGCACACAAATACACACACACAATATAAAAAAGGGAGGGCAGAAATCCTTTTCGCTCGACATAATTTTGTATGACAGCGGTGACAGATAGTGTTTTATGACTGAACGGGTTTCTCTGGGCTGTTTGGAACTCATCCTCCCACAATGCAATGTGCCACAGTAACAGCTCTCCCAGCAACACTGGCACAAAGAAGGTGTTTGATGTGAGGATCGACCTTAAATAATTTATTTTTTTTATTTAACATCAGTGTGTCCGGTGGAAGAACTAAAGACAGGAGAAGAGAGCAAAGACAGTCCAGAAGAAAGAGAAAGAGCAGTAGGGCATGTCATCTCTTCACGGGTCTGTATCTGTCAGGAGATTATAATGTGATGGGATTATCTATACCTCCTGCTGGACTCCCTGTCATGTTACATGCACTCATATACTCTCAATGGATTGTGGGTATGTGTCTTCCTGGTAAAGCTATACTTGTGGGCACATAAATAAATATTGTTATGGAGATACTTGAGTTATGATTAGAATCAGGTAAGAATTCACATTAGTCTTGTAATGGTTAAGTTTGGGGTAAGGGGAGCGCATTATGTCTTTGTGAGGTGCTAGAGAAACACAAAAATGTGTGTGTTTGGCATCTCTTATGAGGAGCTCCAGTTTCCTCTTGAGTGGCTCGTCAATACAGTGAATCCTTTGCACCTTTCTGGGCATTAATTTATAACCCCTCTTTCTTTAATTAGAGAGGAAGAGTGAGGGGAAGGGAGAAGAGCAAATCACCAGGGCTGCTGAAGTCAGCTTCGCCTCCTCCTCCTCCTCCTCCTTCAGCTCCTCCACCATCTCTTTTACCCTACTTTTTAAATATCCTATTATCAGAGCTGATCTCTTTTACCCTCCTTTTTAAATATCCTATTATCAGAGCTGTTATCTCTTCCCACATATCCTTAAACAAGCTGTTTTTTTTTTGCAGCTAAACTGCGTCACATTAAATAATGTGTCATCTGCATACAGTCGAACGTGACACGACACACTCAAAACACAGATACAATTAAGTGCGGTAAAATTTTCTGTGTAAAACGGGACAGAATTGACAATTCTTCTGCCTCGACCTGTGAAATTTCCAATTATGTTACACAGTTGCACCAGCTGTGGTGCTTGTGTGCTGCTGTTACACACAGGAAGCAACGGCCACTCGTCCAAACTGCTTGTGGAGCATAATGCAAATGCTTTGAAGGCACACTTCCCTCAGTGCTGCTCCTCTCTGATTTATCTGCTTCTTTTCCCCTGGTTCCCATTATTTCTGTCACACAAGTCTTATCTTACTTATTATGCACCAATTTCCCCCTCACTTTTACATTACCAATCCCATTTCATACTCTACTCCCTCACCACCCTTTGGAATCACACACACACACGTGTTTGCAGCACTCACTCACTTGTGAAATGCAAAACAGCTGTGCTTAGACAGATAGACAAATGTAGCCGTTCCCTGAGGAGTGAAGGTGACACACATGAAAAGCATCACACATACAAAGCTACCACACACACACACACACACAGAAGGAAGGACAGTGCCATCTACGTGCAGGGTACGACCGGACAGAAGCTAATCCCTGCAGTATAGAAAGACAAAAATCACTTACAGCAAAACAATTAAAATGCTAATTTCCACTGCCTCTCAGCCTAAGCAGCTGAGAGCTTATATAATATTCCTGGGTCCAGGTACAGTAATAACCCCCACCCCACCCCGTCCTTTGCTTTCAGGGTCTGCTGGTCACAGATGAGAAAACTTTTTAGATCCATGTTACATGTCAGTAGTAGTTTTTTTGTTCATTTCCCGAAGTGCAGATGTAAACAAAAAATAGAAATTCAAACGGAGAGAAAGAGAAAGAACAGTGAGTTTCTGCCATTTCTGCCCATACAACATGAATTATTGAGGAGTGAAGTGAGCCGCGCTGCCTGATGTTCTCCCCGACTTCATGTGTCTGACAAGAAACCGTCAAGTAGTAGAGAGAGACTCGCAGGCAAAGACTCACTCGCCCGCTACACCCGTTTACGGACAGGTGTGCGATGGGGAAAGGACATCCATAGGGGAGTCTGTGACATCACTACTCCGAAAAACTGGGTGAATTATTAACAGTGTTGCAGCACAGTCGTACTGCTGCTGTTCTTTACTTCTGGGATCCTCATCCGTGTTGGCTTTTACATCACATTGTGACATTTATGACAGACAGACAACATGGTTTGTGATTTGTATGTTTGTTTGTTTTTATGTCCAAAGAAGCAGCACATGTAATATTAAATGCTCTGTCTTGTAACTGCATCTATAATCAACTCCAACTCTTGTCTTCTTTAACAAAAGCAAAAGACTACGGCCGGTAGAGTAAGTTGAAGTTTTTGCAGATGCTGACTATCCTAACCTGATAAGTAAATATCAAGTGTTAAATAAACAGAAATTCTTGTTTATTTCTAAGACAACCAAACATCTCAGGACAAGGAGCTCGTTCCTCCGTTCACCGTCTTTGTCTTCCTGCTCTTCTAGATGGGAAAACTGGACAACCGCAGCTTGACACTGAAGTATCCAGTCTGGCCGCGCTTCAACTCCTTTGGTGACGCCGAGCTTGATGACAACCACCTGTCCATCGTCACCTTAGAAGAGAAGCCCTTTGTGATAGTGGAGGATGTGGAGAGGCTCACGGGGACCTGCATGAGGAACTCTGTGCCCTGCAGAAAGCATATCAAAGAGTAGGTTTACTACACACACACACACGCACACACACACACACACAAAGACCTTTAACGTGTAATGGATTTGGTTCTGATCCACACATTTACTTGATTACAATCCAAAAATGGTTGCAGTTAAATATTTAATATGAACTTTTGTAATGGATTTGATTCTGATCCACACATTTACTTGATTACAATCCAAAAATGGTTGCAGTTAAATATTTAATATGAACTTTTCTTTAGAAAGATAATAATACAAAGCAAAACACAGGTTCAAAGGGAGGAAAAAGAAACAAAAGAATCACTTAGAGTTGTAGTGAAACATTTTAGTTTTTTTGCCTAATAATGTGCTTAAGAAAAAAACTCAAATATTTTCTTGTGGAGCCGTAAACATTGTTGTATACTAGTAATTGATATGTTCAAACATGAAATAGTGAAAATAAAACAATAAACCTTATCACCAGACAGAGGTTAGAAAAGCCCAGGGTATATTTTCCATTTTGTTTTGGTGGATTTTCTCCTGCTCTGCCTCTCTGAGTGCCCAGAGCTACAGAGAGTGAGATCTATGCAGCAGATTCTTCCTCTCTCCCACAGAAAATGGAGGCAACTGCTGAAGTCAGCACTTTACTTCTCTGCTCTTTACCAATTTCCCTCTAATGTCCAAAAATTTCAGCCTCTGCTACAGCAAGTTCACAGAATACACACACACACACACACACACACACAGTGTGTTTGGGCGTGAAGTGAATTGCTGCTAATCAAACCGTGTAATTCCTTTGCAGATAATTTGATGTTTTTTTTCACTGCACAGTATTCCTTACAGATACACTCACAGTCTCACACACACACACACACACAAACACACACGGACCTGGTTTGGCTGCGACGAGCTGCAAAGGAAGAGGCCAATAGAGATTTTCAACCAGATTAACTGTAAAGTAGGACGCAGGATGAAACATCCCCGAGCAGCAGCAGCACAAACACACAAGCCCGTTCACAGCCTCCGTGGGCACATGTCCACTCACTCGCAGGCCAGTGCGTTTGGGCGCATTCTCCTCTTCCTCGGTGCAATTTCCACTCAAGCATCCTTGGTGTCCATTTGGAGAAAGAGGGTTAAATGGAAGAGGAGGGAAGAGGCAGAAAGTGGATGAAGAAGAGCAGAGTACGGGGGAGAGGGAGGGTGGTTCGCGGTCGGGGAATGCATGGATGGATGCATGCAGAACCACAAATCCACTCATCCAGGCTGGGCCCACGGACAACTAACACACACAAGCACACACACATATATACCCACAGCGGGCTCTCAGGAGACCCCTCAGGCCCTGGAGTGTTTCTAGATCAAGTTTGCCCGGTAACTTTGCAAACAGCCTCCATAAAATCACATGCTCCCGCTGCCTGAACTGTACCATGGTCTGCCTAAGTGGGAACACTGTGTTCATGAAGGCAGCTATAGCAATCCTGACCTATATGCTTGCACTGTCAGTGGCCCTGCCAGCTGAATCTGCCAGAAAGTTGACTTCGGCTTCCTCCACCCTATTATTATCACACGGCTCGTTCCCGGCTCAGGCCTCTCTCTGTCTCTGGTGCGTCATTACATGGCTGCATCAGTGCTGTATATCAGCATGAAAAAAAAGATTCTATTGTGCCCTCAGGTCATAAGACTTTAATCATGCCTTTAATCATGCACCGAGCCTAATTTTTTTAAAGCTGTCAAATTAATGGAATAATGTATACACAACCTCACGCCTAAGCCCACTGTACTGCATGTCCTACTCAGAAGTCTGGCTTTAAAGTGGTGGCTACACTGAAGACATATTGCTTCCCTGCTAATGAACTAGCTTGGTTTTTGTTTACACACATTACGCTTCTGGAATTTCTGACATTTCAATGCTAATTATATTTTATGTCATTTTCAAACAGCTGTTGTGGTAAAACTTAAAAACAAAAAAGTATAAAGTATAAATAGCACAGTACACAACATCACTGACAGATCAGTCAGGGACCAGCTTTCAAAATAAACAAATTCATCCTATTTACAGTAGTGATGATGCTCTCTGGACACAAAATGACCTTAATACCAGACGCCCAATATGTAGAGTTGTACAAATGATATTATTAAAAATTATTAAATATCTATCTATCTATCTATCTATCTATCTAGTTTTGTAGTGTGTAATAGTGAGTATATATGTATGTTCAGTTTATATTTGTAAATATATTTTAATGTGTTGTGTAATGGAGATACTGTAGGTAGTGACAGGTCATTTTAGCCTGGTAATCTGAATAGTAACTCCTAGGCCAAAATTGGAGTAATTTTTATTTATTTTTATTTTTTACACTTTACTCTCTTCTGTGTCTGTGTTGTTGAATCAAAGCGTGACAGTAGTTCATCAAAACACACATAAAAGGTAAATGACAGTCCCAGGTGTCTGGAGGATGATGTGTGTGCGCGTGTCAGTTTATCCACACAGATGGTAGAGGAACACCTTTGTCCTGACAGGACGTGTGAAGGAAGAAGTTAAAACAGACGAAAACATTTCTGTTTTGTTTCTCCTTTGTGTCTGTGCAGCAACACCACAGAGGCGGGGGGCACGTACATCAAGAAGTGCTGCAAAGGCTTCTGCATTGATATCCTAAAGAAAATCGCCAAATATGTCAAGTTCACCTATGACCTGTACCTGGTAACCAATGGCAAGCATGGAAAGAAGATCAACAATGTCTGGAATGGGATGGTGGGAGAGGTGAGACATGAGTTTATCACTGAGGGAAACTCCAACTGTGACATCATCACACCTAAAAATAAACAGGGTTAAAATCATCCAATAGAAAAGTCGGACGTTGATAAAGTCTGTTTTATGATGCAACAGGACTGTAAACAATCTTTTAGAGCAAAAAGAAGAAGAAAAAAAAACTCATGATTTCTACTTTAAAAAAAAATAACTATATAAGATGTGGCCCACTCACTCACTGCTTTTTTTCATGGAGAAGAATTCACATATACAGTACACAGCAGAGGCATCAACTGACAGCTGCTCGGTCTACGTGGGTTGCTGTGTCTAGTTGCTAGAATTTGGTGCAGCAAAAAAAAAAAAAAAAACGGAGAATGGCTGAACTTTTCAAATGGTAGTGAAATCTCTCACCACGCTGACTGCCAGTCAAATCACACTATGACAAATTCATTCATTTTAAAACCACAGGTCAGAGCTAATCACTCAGAACCAGTCATCAGGTGAACAAGACAAAGAATTCTTCCACAGCCCTGTGGACTCATCTGCACTTTGTCTTTGAGCCGGGGCTTTGTGAAAGGTTTTGTGAAATAATGGACAGAAAGAAAACGACAGATGTCCAGTGAAGAAAGTGTTTAAATACTGTAGGTTTTTCTTCCACTCAGGAACTCCTGAAAACGACTATATACAATTAAACAAAATGTTCATTTCTCCCACCCCAAAAATAGAATAGTTTAGTTTTAAACCCAATGGTTTCATCTGTATATTTTCATGATAAACTTCATTTGCTAAATTGAACTTGATGTTTTCCTTGTTCAGCACCTCTTTACTCATTAGATCAAATAATTATAGTTCACCCACTGATTAAAAACTTAATGCGTTATCAATAAAATTCACTATTTCTGCTAAGCTGGTCTTTATATATATATATATATTTAATTTACTATCATGAGGAAAGATAATATAATACAGTTAGTGGACCTCTGAGGCACATAACTAAAGAGGTGTTATTACCATCATCTTTGTTTTATGTGTATATCCCGGTGGGTGGGTGGAGGAACCACCGCCTGTCTGTCTGTCTGTCTGTCTGTCAGTCTGTCTGTCTGCTGACACAATGAAAACTGTGAACTGGGAGTTTTAACCGGCAGAGTACTGGGTGGAGGGGGCGCTGTGTCTTGTATATAATTGAGTGTTGCATTCAGGGAGTTCTCCCACAATAGCTGGACATTAAAATGTAAATGTTCTTCTCCTTCTTCTTCTGCTCCTCCTCTCCTTTGTTTCCCATGATTCCTCCTCCTCCTTCTACTTTCTTCATCACTCACAATCTTGTCACCTGCCACCTTTTCTCCTCCCCTCTCCCCTGACTCCCTTCCTCTGCCCTGCCCACAAAAAAGGTGGTCTATAAGAAAGCCGTCATGGCCGTCGGATCTCTGACGATCAATGAGGAGCGTTCTGAGGTCATCGATTTCTCCGTCCCGTTCGTGGAAACCGGGATCAGCGTCATGGTGTCCCGTAGTAATGGAACAGTCTCCCCATCAGCGTTTCTCGGTAACTGTCACTGAATAACTTTTATTTTTTTCCGTCCACACAGAAAGATGACAACACAATCCAGTCTCACTCTCACAGCTGTCAGTAATCTGTAGGAGTTTAGTACTTCACCACAGGATTTTAACCTGAGTGATGGGGGGGGGGCTGGATATTCACATTATGGACGCTGAGTCACGTTCTCCTTATAGCACTTGACACCACACACACACACACACACACACACACACACACACACACATACAGGATTAAATGCCCACAAACAGGTATCCACGCTGACATGTGCGTTCCGTGCTGTTTCTGCTGTGGAAGTGTAATTATGAAGGCTAAGCAGGAAACCCCGTAATGGATGCTTGCCAACACACACACACACACACACACACACACACATACATAGTGGCAGCAGTATTCTCCCATACATTAGTGCAGGATTTAATCTCTGCAGTAGTTTGTGAACTAAGAGAGAAGACAGGAGTGCTGACACCAGGGCTTCCTACACTGTACACACTGTCAAACAGGAGCGCTGTGTGTGTGTGTGTGTGAGAGAGAGAGAGAGAGGCAGGCCCACACACAGATGTGTGTGTGGGCCTATAGGTGATTGATTTATTGGTTCCATTCAGTCCTGCCTGATGTATGAGGTATAAAACTGAGACGCTGCAGGAGTTCATACTTAATCTGTGTCTTTTTATGTTCTGCCCTCTCTGTGTCTCAGAGCCATTCAGTGCATCAGTTTGGGTGATGATGTTTGTGATGCTCCTACTGGTGACTGCAATGGCTGTCTTCATGTTTGAGTACATCAGTCCACTTGGCTTCAACAGAAACCTGGCGCAGGGAAAAGGTGAGCACGAAGAAGAAGAAGAAGAAGAAGAAGACTGTGTTAACTCCTCTGTTAATCAAACCCTCATTATTTTCTTCTTTTACTCTCTCTCCCCCTCAGACCCCCATGGTCCGTCTTTCACCATGGGTAAGGCCGTGTGGCTGCTGTGGGGTCTGGTCTTCAACAACTCTGTGCCGGTGCAGAACCCTAAAGGCACCACCAGTAAATTCATCGTGTCCGTGTGGGCCTTCTTCGCTGTCATCTTCCTGGCTTCCTACACTGCCAACCTGGCCGCCTTCATGATCCAGGAGGAGTTTGTCGACCAAGTCACAGGGCTGTCTGACAACAAGGTAAAGAACAGAACCTGGAGGTTTCACCTGCTGAGTCATGCTTTATGGGAAACAAACAAACAAACTCCAAAACTGGAATTCTTTTCTGCACAACAAGCTGACAGTTTTTAAAACTCCAACGATAACTTTGGAACTGATAGAACTTGGAGTCAGAAAATAAACTCTTTATAATGAAGCTTCAGTTTCAGGTTAAGACACAGTGACCTTCAGGGGTCACCTTAGTGGATAATTAACGCATTAATTGGTCCGTCCTTGGTGTTTATTTGGAGGTCAGGGACACAGAGTTCCACAGATGGATTTGAACTCAGGCCAAATGGGAGGAAGATGAACTTACAACCCACTGAGCCATGACCTCAGTAAAGATGAGAAGTCCTTCGTTTGTCCCACAGTTGGGAAATTACACTTCTGCATTAAAAAAAAAAAAAATGTTTCCGACATAATTAGGGTCAACTTTTCAAGTTTTCGTGAACACGTCAGAAGACTTGGTGCCCAACCCACTGAGGTGTGAAGCATTTCTTTCTAGGTGTGACTTGGCATCTGCGTGACTTACATTTAGTCTCTCCAAATATCCACATTTATGGTTTCCTTAAAAGGCAGTGGCCTCACAGAATGAACCTGAAATCCAACCTTCAGCTGGCAATTATTTTATTCAAAGGAACAAAGTGCCCTGGTTCCTCAGACGGTTCTTTAAGAAACTGAACATGTTTTTAGTGCAAATACAATACAATGTGACTCTCAGCTCCTGCTACAGTAGAATAAATGCACTGTATATTCATCACAGTTAATGTGAACTGAAGGAGTTAATGATAAGATGAAAGAAATTCATTAAAGTTGTATCAGGAATTATTTGTTCTCCGTGGGAGAACTGTAGAAAACCCATCGACATCCATAAAACAAACATAAAAGTTGAGAAATGAGGATTGTTTCACACAGGCGTCGTATAAAATAATATAAATAAACAACGTGCCGATCCCTGTTGTTTTTTCCAAAGCTTATAATTAATGTCTGAATGCAAATACTCAGAGTAATGGAGTGTTTTTGCCACAGTGTGACGGCAAATTGCTAAACGTGTACCACTGTGTTAATGTACACGGAGATGAAAACTAATTATAATACGTGGTTATAAATTATGTAAAGTGAGGAAGTTGAGAAAAGAAAAGTTGTCGGAGGAGGAAGACTAGAGAGAGGCCGAGAGGAAAAGGTCAGGCTGAGGAATAGACGATGGAATTTAAGGCCAAAAACAAAAAGGGCAGAGGTTGTTTTTGTTTCTGTCGGAGCAGCAGCAGAGATCAGAGGATTTGTGATGGATGTAAAAGGTTGGGATGTCGTACCGATGGACGGAGCGAGGGATGAACGACGGCAGCTGTTCATCATCAGTGGTCATTATCAGGCAGAGGGGGAGTGGCTGCTCTGGGAATTACACTTTAATAAGTGTGTGGTTTTGACCCTGAAACCTGGACCTTGTTGAGGAAATGTGGGCTGTGAGGAGGAGGAGGAGGAGGAGGCACCAGTGGAGAGAAGAGGTGTCTCCTGGGAAAAAACATTCCATGACAACACCACAAATACATGTAGACTGAAGTCATTCTGCTGCTACCTTCATATACATATATATATATATGTATATGTATAGATGTATGTATGTAGGTATATAGGTATATATGTGTATATTTTATATATATACAGATATAGAGAGATAATTATATCTCTATATGAGATATATTTATGTGTATATACTTTGTCCTGTTAACTATTGTTGTTCATTGACTAAAAACTATTATTTTATAGACGCCTCCTCGGTGTCACATGACCTGCCCACACACAAACACACACCATGTGGTTAGAGTGACATTCATAACACACTCTAATTGATAGGGTTCATCTGTTTCTGAGACGGAGGGCGGATTGTTACAGCAGTGCTTGAGGGGCAGGTTGTTACCGCGGTGACATACACAACACTGTGACACCCCTGACCTGTGTTTGACTGAATTACACCTGAGAGAGAGAGAGGGTGAGGGGGGTGGAGAGAGAGAGAGGTAAAAGCAAAAGCAGTGAGGCAGAGTGGAGGATGAAGAGAAGTCAATTAAATTTTCTTTTGAGTTAATAGGAGAAGATAGAGAAATCCAAGCACTGGTTTCTCAACTAATGGCTGTAGGTGGTCGTTGTGCGTTTAATGAATACATTGTGTGAATGTATATATTCAATTAACATCAAACCATTGACAATAATGGAAAAGAAAATGTCAATTAAAAGCATCAAAAGGGAGCGAGTAGATGAGCGCTGCCGTTAAAGTGTAATTTAAAGATGAGGATTTCCTTTTTTATCACACTATAAGGGATGTGTTTTTCAAAATAAGAGGCGTTAAAATCTGGTGAGCAAAGGTAACTAAAACTTGTTGCAGTGGTAGCATTGTTTTTTTTAATCTGCAGACTACTTACAATTAAACTGACAGTATATGGAGTGTTTAGAAATGAACTAGAGCAAAACAATCCTGGAAAAGATATTTTGGTTTGGTCGGTTTTAATGTTGTCTTTCATGTGTCCTGATAAGAAGCTTTGTTATGGTAATAATACTGGTTAGAATATGGAAAGCTATAATGTTGTCATCATATCTTCAAGTCCTAAAATTGAACTTGTATGAAATCAGTGCAAACGTCAACTTTACAGTGAAACCACCTGAATTATCAAAGCTTTGCAGCAGGGTTTGATCCAAGGAACTTAGAAAAACTTGATTCCAGTCTTTAGATGAGGTGAAGACGCAGGTTGAAAGCTGGAGTGAACAACATCGCTCAGAAGTTTTAAGACTAACGAGGAGATTATATTTCTGTCCCCGTCCTGTTCCAGTTGTATGTCATTACTCCCTGAAACCTGTTGTCAAATTGTTGTTAGAAAATAATGACCAACATTTTTTTGTCCACTTTTCTTTCACAGTTCCAGAACCCGTATGCCTACTCCCCGCCGTTTCGCTTTGGCACGGTTCCCAATGGTTCCACCGAGAGGAACATCAGGAAGAACTACCCTGCCATGCACCAGTACATGGTGAAGTATCACCAGACCGGGGTCCAGGATGCACTCGTCAGCCTCAAGTCAGGGTAAGGAAGCCCTGTGCCCGAAAACAGTTCTGTGTTTGTCTGTCTGTACACCAACACATCCACGACTGTGTGTGTGTGTGTGTGTGAGAGAGAGAGAGAGAGAGATCCAGAGGATGAGAGTGGCAGTTCCTGTGAGATTGTGGATGAATGGGCTTCCTCACTGGAAACGGCAGAGGCTATTTTTAGTACTGGTCTCTATAATGGGGCCGGTAACGTTGGCACGAGTGGATCGGTGTGTGTGTATGTGTGTGTGTGTGTCAGGGACGAAAGGAGGAAAGGTTATCACAAAGCAAACCAAGGACGGATGGAAAGAGTGAAGCCTTGGATGGTGAGAAAAGAAAAGGTAAAGATGGAGGAGGACGAAGAGGAAGAGGAGGAGGAGGAGGAGTCAGGATTCTCCTCACACATTTTATGCTTCTGTTAAAAAAAACGAAAGAGTCCAAGGGCAGGATATTAGAGGAAATAATGATAGAAAGAAAGAAGGGACGGAGAGAGATGAGGAGACAGGAAGTGGTAATGAGATGAAAAGTCGGACCAATGAGAGAGAGAAATCGAGGGGTAGGAATAGTGAAGGATATAGGAAAAGGTGGGGGGGCTGCAGGGGTATCAGGAGGTGGAGGGATGGTTGATGAGATGGAGGACAAAAGGTTGATGAGATGATACTGAGGGATGTCTCTGATTGGTTAATGGCTGTGGGGTGGAATCCACTCCCGTTTCTCTGTTTTTCTGTTTCACACACGAGCACATACAGTCTATAAAACAAAAACACAACAAGTCTACATTTATTTTTGCTTTGTTCATTATATATTTATATATGTATTGTATGTATTAAAACTCCAGTATTGGTGTATTTGTGCCTCTGCTCTGACTGCAGCTACTACAGTTACACAGATGACTTCAGAGATGAAGTCGCAGCATTAGCTTTTATCAGGTTCAGTGCTTGCATTAGCTTCAATCACGTATTATTTCTGAATGGATTCACCTGCAGATGGAGCTGATGAGTGATTAATTCAATGACTTATACTGTAGTTGGAGCTAAGGTATTGATATAATGGCAACAAGTGCGTTCTAAAATTCAAACCAAAACAAAACCCCTTACACTTGTTCAACCACTGACATGTACAATGATGATTTTCACTCACTAAAAACTAGACACAAGTTTACACACAAAAACAGACAAAGTAACAGACTCAGCTTGAGCAGTAGTCCTCTCATGGACAGAAAAAGTCTCTAAATCCTATTGCATTTGTTACAAATCACTCCGTTTCGTTCTCGTGCTCATTAGCTCGTTCAGACGTCGTCCCTCACCTTCTTTTTTTTATTCTTGTTTCGTGCCCGCCCTTCGTGCTCTGGCGCCCCCTCAAGGGAGTCTCGCCTCACACTTCGCACACCACTGACTTTGACAAATCACCACAAGAATTTAAGGTTTCCGTGATGCCTTGCTGTTATCAAGTCTTTTCTCACAGCCGCACAGCGGATTCACATTAAAGGTGAACTAATTCATGTCACTGCGGTCGAGTGTGCAAAGAAGCAAAAGCTGCAAAGTGGCCACATTTTTATCAAACACACTTTGAACGCGTGTTACATTGAAGGCTAAATCCCAGGAATATTTTGCTCACAGACACGCACCGCTGCACAGCTACATCCCCACAACCACACACACACACACACACACATCCCCAGGCACACACTCCTGCTTCCTTCCAAGTTTGGACACAGTCTGCGTGAGGATTGAGCCTGTGCTGTGTTAAGCTAATTACACAGCTAAACTATCGGCTGTGAGCCTCCGTTAGAGGGTTAGATCTGACATTCAGTAAATGCCAGCCAGGCACTGCACTATTAACTGGGCTGTGTGTGTGTGTGTGTGAGAGAGAGAGTGTGTGTGTGTGTGTTTCTGTTTGTAGAGACAGGTTCTGAGAGAGCCCTCAGTGATGGAATCAGTTACAGTGAAAATGTCAGTCTAAGTCTGGGATCTTTTACGTCCCACTTCACAACCTGCCTGTTGGTGTGAACGTGTGTGAACTGAAGGAGAGAGAGAGAGAGAGAGAGAGTAGGCGTTTGGACGCCTAGGTTCTGTTTCTTCTAAGATTCTATAATAATTATCCAAGTGTGTTGTGTTGTATCCTCCCCGGTGCATTGTCTGCATTTAGTTGCCCTTGAATTGTTGACTCGCTGACAATTGAACACAAATGATTTGCAGACAATATGAGCAGAAAAAAACCCCAACTTGTTCTGTTTCTTTTCTGGTCTCCTCATTAACGTTACCTCACATGCACCCATCGAAAAACCGACAGAACGACAGCACACGTGCTCATAACGTTCACTCTTAGTCTCTGTTCTGTCTTTCCGTCTTTCTCAGTAAACTGGACGCCTTCATCTACGATGCTGCGGTGCTGAATTACATGGCTGGAAGAGACGAGGGATGTAAGCTGGTGACCATAGGCAGCGGGTTGGTGCAACTTTACATTTTCTACAGGACAAAAAAAATATCGATTGAGTTTTTGTGCCATCACAAGAATTGAGAGATGAAAAACAAGCGACCGTATTTTTGAGACTATGCCATGCTAGTCAGAGCATTTGTCCCATCATTAAAAAATGTTGTCATAAGTGTTTATGGTGCCCCCTTGTGGCCAAAGATTCCGTACTTTGGATTGTTTTTGATCTTTGTGTGTATTATTGTTCTTCAACTTATTGTGTGTCAAATTGTTTAATTAATTATTTTTAAACTGTACCCCAAACTCTAACAAATTACCTTTTTTTTTGTAAAAATGAATTCTTCTGGTAGGTGGTTTTCACAGGACACGGCCTCGTTTGAATTGAATTAATAAATAATTGTAATTTAAACAAATGAATAACAGGAAAAAGAAAACAGAGGGCAGTGTCTCTGATGGTGAATTTCTTTGGAAATAAGTAAATACCATCCTGTGTATGTGTGTGTGTGTGTGTGTGTGCGCGCGGTCAGGTACATCTTCGCTACTACTGGTTACGGCATCGCCCTGCAGAAAGGTTCCTACTGGAAAAGACAGGTGGACCTGGCGATCCTGGCCATTATTGGAGATGGTGAGAAACACTCCGACACACACACACACACACACACACACACACTGTTTCGGTTTCTAACATACACACAGATCGAGATGCTAAGATGCTAAGTTGCTAAGATGTCAGAGGTCACATCACAGCAGTGCTATTCATGCACAGCCCGATGTTCCTCACACACACACACACACACACACACACACGTGCTCATGCCTAATGTATCGTCTGCTGCCAACACAGAGAGAACGCAGTGAGGTATAAATAGCCCTTTGATGTTATTCTGGACACAAAAGGCTGCTATAAACAAAGGCCAAAGTGTGGAAGTTAGTCTAATGTATTCCTCTCTGCGGAGGCTGAGGTGTGTGTGTGTGTGTTTGGTGTTTTTAAATGTGTGTGTACATAACTTTGAAGTGTCTAAATCTCCAAATTCCTTTGATACAAGATATGTATATTTATACATATACACACATATATACAGAAATATATTATATATGTGTGTATATGTACAGTATGTGTGTATACATGTAATGTGTGTAGTTGTATGTGTGTGTATGTGTAAAATTAAATTTGATCTGATTCACATGATCAGAGACATTAGGGAAACTAAACTGTATCAGAGAAAACCATTGTTACATAAATGCACTTTGGCTGCAGATCCACCACATTTCATCATTTTTTAATTAGTGGAAAAAGAATGATGATAAGAGTGCAATCATTGTTCCTGTTTTATCACCGCGGTTTTGTCACATTTCTCAACTCCAGCCCTCTTGTATCTGCAGCGTGTGCAAATACACAGTGGGATCGGCTCATCATTATCTTCACTGTTTATTTGTAGGGATTAATACGATGACAAAAGAGAGAGAAGAAGGGGCAGATACTGCAGTGAGAGACATGAATAAAGGTGACGGGGTTACGTTTGACTGTGGAAACGACAAAGAAAAAAAAAGAACCACAGGGATGTTGGTGTGAGTGTTAGAGGCCAGAGCCACAGAGGGGGCTGAGGGAGGAGAGCAACAAATTGTCAGTGAGACAGAAGTCTGAGCACTGAGGCGAGAGCCGGCTCTTGATAGATGACATCTGACATTTCTCAAAGAGGGGTAAAGCGTCTTAACAGCTGTGTGAAGTTTAAAGAACAGTTGAGTTTTGCTTTTTGTTTTTTTATTTTAAGCAACAGGGGAATTTCAAAGGTAGGAAATGAAACAAGGCTCCAGCAGACGTCAGTGGCTCCAGTTCAACACACTCCTGTTATATGTTGGTTTTTTTAATTCTCTGAAGGACTGTTGACCTGTCTCCACACTGTAGGTGAGAACTGGAAAGGTTGTACTTGTGCTGAGGACAAATGTTTGACTAATGTGCAGAATTTGCATTTCTAGAAAGTCAACATGAAATGAAAGGCAATAAAAGACTAAAGTGAGAAAAGTAGTAAAAAGTAAAACACAATCAAACAGAGACAAAGACGAAACGCAGTTTGTCTGGAAACAACAGGCTTCTACACACACACACACACACATATACACACGGTTGAACCTGCTTCAGGCCACATTTCTGTCAGATGGATTTACCTGTCCTGCTTCAGGTCACATTTCTGTCAGATGGATTTACCTGTCACTGTGACTCATGTCGTTCACTGTCTCTTCATATTTCTGAACTGATATTTGACACTCTCTAGTCAGGAAGTGTACTTTCTTAATCCACCCTTGAACATCAGGGACTGACAGAAAATATGTTTTTACCACAATAATGATGAAACAGTAACATTGTGCAGTGGTGAACCCATTGGCCATTTAAGATTAAAATAGATTTCAGGAATACACTGCACAATTTCTCCGAATTTAAAGAAGTTCTTAAAGTAAAAGTGTATTTTTATTAACAACGACCATATTAGTCAACCGATAATCCAAAATATCAGCAGAACTTTTCCCTGGATCTTTAAAAATACTGAGTGATTTAAGCATCAACCAAGAAAACAACGACGGTCCAATCAAGTATGTGTTGTTGTATTCATCAATTCCAACAGAGACAGATTCGTCCCTCAATGTCCTTTAAGGGTTAATGACATCTAAGTGAGGCTGCACCCAAAGACATCAAGCTGATCACCACCATGATATTTGTCTTTCCTGGCCAGCAGCTCTGAATGACACAGATTGGATTAGCCACGCACCAAATGTCAGAGGAGTCAGAGAGAGAGGGAGGATAGGACAAAAGGAAACACCGAGTGAGGAATGGAAGAAGATAAGGTCTTTGTTGCTTCCTGCTCGTCTCACAATAACAGAATGATTCCCCATCTGGAAACACAGAGAGGGGATCGAAGCCCTGTTGCTCGGCAATGCCCGTGGAACTTGATCTTAAAACACGTTCCGCGCCCAAAATAATGGACAAGTAGTAAAATAATACACAATAATTGAATGAGTAGAGGCTATCAGTTAGCCATAAACACTGACACTGATCAATTTAAAGACAGAAAAAAATGGATTTCAAACCACTTTGTGTTGTTGAATTTACCTTTCCTTTACGTCATGGGTAAGTAAAAAGTCAAATTTTAAAATCTTTATTTTTGAAAATGACCTCCCTACATTCAAGTCTGAACTAATTCATTTTTTAAAAATTCTTTGGCACATATCAAGTACCTTTGAAATTTCCTTTCAGTTTCAGGAAAATAAAATATGTCGAGAGGTAGGTTTATTTTAACAAGTCTACATTTTAGTTTGGTTAAAATTGAATGTTTTTCCTGGAAAGCCTGCCACCTACAGAGAAGAATAGAGAAAAATAAATGTATTACCGTAATAAAACTTGTCAAAATTGTGCACTCGGCTCAAGAGACATAATTCAAATGTTTGACTCCATTTTGTGACGGTGTGTTTCTTCTTCTTTTTCCAGGTGAAATGGAGGAGTTAGAAGCCCAGTGGCTGACAGGAATTTGCCACAATGAGAAGAATGAGGTAATGTCCAGTCAGCTAGATGTAGACAACATGGCTGGTGTCTTCTACATGCTGGCCACAGCCATGGGTCTCTCCCTCATCACCTTTGTCTCAGAGCATCTGTTCTACTGGAGACTCAGATACTGTTTCACCGGGGTCTGCTCCGGCACACCAGGTCTTCTTTTCTCCATCAGTCGGGTGAGTACCTGCCTTCCCGGGTCATTACAGGTGTCTGCAGAAGGGTACGCGTCTGTCTTTGTGATTGGCTGGATATGTTGTGGCGTCGCCTGTTTACTGTGGTTCACCATCAGGTTCTAAGAAGTGTACGGTAACTGTTCTGGCGTTCGTTACGTCTGCAATGAGGTCAAAGACGTGGAGAAAACATGTGCGTCACCCAAACACACACAGTGAAAGAAACGGCGCTGCTAAAGTAAGACACGGTGAAGAAGGGAGGGCTGCACAAAAGGGAAGAAAAAGAGGCATTTGGGTGGAAGCAGGAGAGGTGATCACGAGGCAGCCCTGAATACAGACAAAAATAGATTTTAATTGCAGTGTGTTCTTTATGTGGGAGTGTGTGTGTGTGTGTGTGTTGGGGGGACGTAAATGAGGGGTAAAATAACAACAACCCTCACTAAATCAATCTATTACCTCTGGTTCTTTTCAAAGGTCAGTTTTTCCCCCCTGTCTGTGCAAACCACAGACAAAGACATGAATTCCTAAATGCACTGCAGTGTCTCTGTGCTATTTTTGAGGCTGCTGTGTGTGTGTTGAACAGAGCAGAGTTGGAGAAGAGGGAAACATTTTCATCCCTAATGGCCTGTTCTCGTGTGTCCACAACATACGTACTGAAGCAAATGATTATTACCTTTCATTTTGGAAAAGCTGAAAAGGTTGGAGGGTACTAAAAAAAAGTTAGGCTCAATATTTTCTCCATTTTTGACTTAGAGCGGTGTTGTTTATTAAATATTAATTTCCTTCCCACTAAAGTGAGTTATTTTTTGTTGTTACCTGTGATTTGTGAAAGATTTATGAATGGTTCAATGCCTGTAGAGCTTACAACATTTTTATTTTAATTATTTTCTCAGTAACCTAATTCAATTTATTTTTGCTGAATTTCTACTCATAACACACTTAACATATCTAACATTGCTGAGTTGTCACATTTTGATGCTAAAAGAAATCTTTTCATCTTGCACTACATTGCATGGTGCCAGTGTGTCCCCTGGGCATTTTTAAATAATGTATACATACAGAACATGCTTTATAAAAGTCACTATAGGTTGTGGGAAAAAAAAAATCGGTTTAACTTAGTGACATTTTCAATGGGTTAATTGCATCAGAACAAAGCATGCCAAACACAAACCTACTTAGGTTAATATTCTGTTTTTCTCTCCTCATCCCATTCTAATCGTCATCACATCTCTTTATCCTACTCACACACCTGCCTCCACTTCTTCGTACGTCTTCCTATTTGCCCCCGTCCTCTTTTTTACCCTCACTCCATTAATTCCTCCATACACCACCAAATAGGGAATCTGGAGTTGCATCCACGGAGTCCATATTGACATGAAGAAAAAGACAGATTTGGACTTTAGTCCTCAGGACAAAATGCTCAAACTTATCAAGTCGGCCAAACAGATGACCAACATTACCAATCTGGGTGGCTCCCACATGAACTCACCCAAACGTGAGTTTATGCACTCAGCTGGCCCAATTATCATGGACATGATGGCCGAGAAGGGCAATTTTATCTATGCTGACAACAGAAGCTACGCCCCAAAAGATATGATCTACGGGGACACAGGTGATCTGCAGTCTTATCTCGCCAATCGACACAAAAACCACCTCAACAACTACATGTTTCAGGGAGGCCAGCATCCTCTGACCCTCAATGACGCCAATCCAAACACAGTAGAGGTGGCCGTAAGCGCTGACGCTGTGCAGACTAATGCCAAACCACCCCGGACCCTGTGGAAGAAGTCCGTCGAAACACTGCGGTCAGTGCCACCTGGTCCCCCTCCCATGCCTGACATGCTGATGCCAGATCCACGAATTTCAATGAAGACCCAGCGCTACCTTCCTGAAGAAGCAGCCCACTCTGACGTCTCTGACTGTTCCAGCAGAGCTGCCTCCTACAAGGACCCAGAAAACAACAAGCACTTGAAACCCAAGGACAGCTTAAAAAAAAGATCCGTGACGTCAAAATACCCAAGAGACTGTAGTGAGGTGGAGCTGTCCTACTTAAAGACTAAGCAGGTCACTGGTGGAACCAACCAAACTGGGAGAGGAGGAGGAGGAGAGAAAATTTACACCATCGACTCAGACCGAGAAATGAGCTTGCACTCAGACCCCATTCAGTACCACGAGAGCCGCGGTCTCGCTACTGATGATTTGGAATACCCCGAGATCTTCTCTGACCACAGTGACAACTATAGGAAATGTGAGCAGCCCATCATCCATCTTAACTCTTCACCTTTGCATCGCACAGATTCCGATCTTTTACCAGACCCGACTTATGCTAAACACTATAATATGAAGGAGAAAAACATTTCCTTGTCACCCCATGAAACCCTGGATCGCTACAAACAGACACATTGCCGTTCATGCTTGTCAAAAGTGACCACTGGCTACCCTTCAGCGGGTCCTTACACACCCACTGGATCTGTCACACGGTCACCCTATAATCGGTGTGAAGCCTGCCTCCACATGGCCAACCTGTATGATATCAGCGAGGACCAGCTCCTCGCAGACCCGGTTAGCCCCACCCTGCACCACCAACAGCAACAGCAGCAGCAGTCAGACGACATGTTTGGTATGTATTGGCCACAGACAGATGGGCCACATGTTCAAAAGAGAAACCGGTTGAGGCTGAGCCGTCAGCACTCCTTTGACAACATAATGCTAGAAAAGCCCAAGGACATAGACCTGGGCCGACCGGCGCGTAGTGTCAGCCTCAAAGAGAAGGATCGCTTTCTGGATTCCTCATCAGATTCGCACTACACAAATCTTTTTGGAGCGCGACCTTGCTCTGGGAGACTGTTTGGCACCGGGTCCAAATCATTGTTCAACCATAATTTGGAGGAGAGCAAGAGAAGCAAGTCTCTGTATCCGGCCCATGGTTCGGAAAATCCTTTCCTCACCCATTCTCTGAGGGAGGACAGCAACAACAGACTGATCCATGGGCGTAGCTCCTCTGATATTTACAAACAACTGGGCTTAGCCTCACCTGTATCTGTCCTCGGACCAGGTCCCATCAAAGCACGCAATGATGCGAACAATCTTCGCTCTTCTGTGAAATCCACTACATCATACTGCTCGCGAGACGGGCGAATTGCCAATGACATGTACAATAAGGAGCATGTAATGCCTTACGCAGCCAATAAGACTAATGCATACCCAGCCCAACGCGGCGTCCTAAACTCAGCTCAGTTTAGCAATAGACGGGTGTATAAAAAAATACCCAGTCTGGAGTCAGATGTTTAGTTGATAATGAAAATAATGTGTTCTCTCCTCCTTACTCCTCTCTGGTTTGTACTAAAGTTTATCAACTATGTTATCCAGTAAGGGATTCCATAGCCACGCTTCATTTTTCTTCTTCTTCAGCTTTGTAACCCAAAAGAATCTATGCTGTCAGTGGTATGGCAGTAATACTATTACTCTCTTTGCAGACGATATCGCCATTTATATCCATTCTCTGCCATGTAATAATGAGTTGGATGCCATACGATACACAGTGGCATAGCAGGAAGATCACTGCAGCAGTGAGGCTGAAGTGTTGTTGTTGAACAGCAGTTGATTTCTGAATATGATGTTGGAGGTAGTAGTGAAGTCGATGAGGGAATTGAATCTGGATGAGAGTAGATTTAGAGCAAAATAGTGGTGAAAGTATCTCTTCGACCCCTTACTTCTTCCTCTATCTTTCCACCTCCACTGTCAAGTCAAGGGCTCACTAGTTGAGAAGAAGAACCCTGACAGAGGGACCAGATGGGCACGTTTGGTGTTGAAGCCAGACATGGAGATGTCCCCAGAGGGCAGGGATGTCACAGTGAGCTCGCCCGACGGTCTGCTGCTTGTTATTTTGACAAATATGGCCACCGAGGCACCTGGCAGTGCAGAAGGGGAGAGAGGGCAGAAGGAAATGAATTGCTAACAGACTAGAGGGGAGCATTTAGTCTGTTTTAGTCATTTTGGCAATTGGAAATGTGTGGTCCATCAGGTTCTGCTAGTCCCGTGATAAAAGATTTATGAGAAGTGAGAAGAAAAAGTCCTGTCTGCTTCTATAAGTTTAAAAAACGCACGACAAAACGGAGAGACTGAAAGATTGCAGGTGAGGAGGAACATGTATGGTCGCTGTTGGGCATTTCATCTCTGACACTCCACATAGAAAAGATGCAAAATATTGCTTTTTTCACTATAATAAACTACTGTATAAGATTTTTTAGGGATTCTGGCATCTGGATCCCCCCATGTAAGATTTTAGTGTTTGCTTATTTGTAGCAGAATAGCCATTAGTTTGAAACGTTACCAAAATTGCTTTTGAAAAAAAAAAACAAATCACAGCTTTTTAAAAATATGCCATCAAGTGTAGTAGGTTATTTTGCACGTGTTGTTTTTTCCTGTGTCAAAAGTGAGAATTTACACAGTTATACACTCTCAGACTCATTTAACATGATTTCACTAAGGGACTGTGTCTTGCTAGATCTAGTGAATGGATACTCGTACAATCGAAACCTCGATCCTTGACCTTTGTGCTTAGTAAATCAGTAACATGCTGTGGCTTCTGCTCTTAAAGAGCAGGAGAATGCTGAATGGGAAAAAGAAAAAAAAAAGAGGAGTTAACGAGGCAAAAGATGATAAGATGACTTTTGAGTCCAACATCTCCTTATCTAAGTTTGGGAGGAGATGGGTCTTTTGACCCCCCTGCCACCGTCAAACAGGGTATTGACTGTAAAAAAAACAAACAAACAAACTGTATTTGTTTCTTCCTTCCTTTCTCCAACAACATCATGCATCAAGTGTTGGACTATTATTGAAACATTTTCTTTGGATTTTTGTAAAGTTAAGCTTTGTTTCGTTGTTGGTTACAGCAGTAGCAGAGCTATAAAGTATCTAACCTCCATGGAATACCTAAGGATTTTGGTAAGATTTTATCAATTACTGTTGATCCACAATGAACCAGGCGCTGGAGGATCCAAAACCTATTTGCGATAAATCTGTGTTTACGTACTTTCATAATGTTGTCGGGCGGGAAGGGCGGGGCGCGGTTCAGGTAGGGTGTAAAAAAAAATGGAGTCTTTGAGCTACGGTTTTGTGTGCTCACCAATCATGCATCCATCACGGCGTGGAGTAAGTGTCTGTTTGATCGGCAGAAGTTGGGTAAGCTTGAAAACTTAACCAAAACCTTTTGATTCCTTGTAATTTAATCGTTTACGCATCACTTTCTTTGCTTGTTGGCTGTTCTGTTCCTTTTGGCAGAAAAGACTTGAACGTGCACATACTTCCACGTGCCAACAGAAACCTTTTTTTGTAGCGTTTTGCTGTACAAAAGTGTACAGTCAGAGGAAAACAATGTAATCATATTAACTGATTTGCTTGATTGGTTGGATTCACAAAGCCAAATTGTATGAAATAAAATACCTCAGGATGATTCTGTGCATTTTGGGGGAGCTTCAAATGTAAAACCAGAAAATAATGCAGTACATTTTTTTCTAAGAAAAACAAAAACAAAGACAAAAAAAAGGAAAAACACGGAAAAACAAACGTCCGCCCTTTTTGCCTAAGGTCTTCCAGTTCGGTTCTCCGTCAGAACTCAACCCAAGTATAGACTAACGAAGAGAAGAAACCTAATTTATCCTAAATCTGAAAAGCTCTGCTCACAACGAATTTTCTAAAAAGGAAACCTTCCCTTTTGCTCTTAATGGTTTTTATTCCACTGTGTTTCAACTGAAGCTCTATTTTTGACAATTTCATATCACCCTTTTGTACTCATGGGATACTGCGATGACGCTCCTTGCTTCCGACTCGGCCTTGACTGCAAAGCTCCATTTGTCCTTTTTTCTTTTGTGTTTTTTTTCTGCACATTTGTTATTATTGTGATAATCATCACATTTATCTGCACATGCTGCTTGTGTGAGCTGACGAGTGAACAATATGCACATGTAAAAATATTGAAACGGCACCCTTGCATTTTATGAACTCTGAGAAATTGTTCTGTTTGTTTTGCTTTTACAGAACTGTCACGTAAACTGACGCTGTTTTATGTTGAGATACAAACGCAAACACACCCTTGTGATGACAACCCTGCTCTTTTTTAAATGGCAAAACTGTATTTTAATTACATTTAATGATAAATAATGAGGTGATGGCATGCAACCCCAGATGTAACAATTTCAATGTTTTATGTTTTCTTTTCTTTATATATTTCTTTTTCCTTCTTCTTCTTCTTCTTCTTTTCCTTAGTTCTTTTCTGTTGACGATGTTATGGTCACTTATGCGTTGTTACCAGGTGTGAGTATTAACACATTTGAGAGAAAAAAAGAAATCTATATTTAACCCTATGGAGATGCTGCTGCTGTTTTGGGGGAGAAGGTGAGGACTTCACCCTAGTGCAACTTCCTCATTACTGGACCGGCCACATTTTACCCAGTCGGGTCAAGGGTCAGGGCCTGGTTTTGGTATGACAGGACATCCTTGCTCTTCCTTCAGTGGCAGGTGAGAATTACTGTAACACCAGCTCTGCTTCTCTCGTCCCTCTCCATGTGTAGTCAGGACTTAAATTGTAAAGAAGATAAAAGATCTATATATATATATATAAAAAAGCAACCCTCTACTCTGAGTCTGCTATCCCTCCAAAGATACGAGACCTCTTTCTTTATGGTTTGCTGTAAGAATAGAGTTTTTTCTTTCTTCCTTTCTTTCTTTCTTTCTTTCCTTTTTTTTTAAAAAAAGAGAAAAAACTAATACTTCCTCAAAGACTTTTAAGGAAATATTTTGAATATATTTAGAAATGACACCTGTAACCATCGCTTGTAAATTCATACTGGAATACATAATCATGAAGAATTATAATGATAAAGAGTAAAAACAATATTTTTTGTGTGAATTTCACAGGAGCTCTTCTGTACAGTGGCACTGTCTCTCGCTCTCTCTCTCTCTCTCTCTGACTTTTTCTATCTCTCTCCCTCACCCTTTCTTTCACTCTCTCTCCCTCTCTTCCCCTCTCTCTCTGTAGAGCGACTAGAATAAAATTTCACCATTCACAAGGTTTGCTGTCCTGTCAACTTTAACAACTTCAACAGCTCTCAACCGTGGGGAAGCACTTCACTTCTTTAAAACTCGTCATAAACAGGCACACGGGCAGTGGATTAGGAAAGTTACCGTTCCAGGCGTCACAGCAGAGAGGATTAAAGGAGGTAAACCAAAATCTCATAGCTTCTCCTCACTCACATTCGATGAAGACGACATGTAAAATGAATGAGGGTCCCCACAGACTTTGGACGTACAGCAGTGTAGACTAATCTCCCGTCGATCAGCTTGTTCTGATTGGGTTCTGATTGTGAGTCTTCTGTCTTTAGACGATGACGTCTTTGTAAATAGCCGTCACGTACAGTTGAAACATGATTTCAAATCCTATGATTTCATGCCGCTGTTTTTTAAAAAGTAATCTCAACATGACATTCATTTCCCAGGCATCCCATTTATTCTTTGCTATTTTGAACCAAGAGATTGACAACACTTAGTCCCCCCAACTTTTTCATCATGGCCGTAATAACTTTTTGAAGACCAAACAGTGAGGACACTGCAGATGTAAGTACTTTGACATTTTTTAAGCATGGTGTTAAGACTTGTTTGTGTGGAAGGCATGGTCTAAGGCGAAGCAAGTCAGAGAAGGGATGGGGGCTATAACTGAACTGGGTGTCATTCATCAGATCCTGTGTGTGTGTGTGTATGTGTGTATGTGTGTTTTGTCCAGGGCAGCAGAAAAGATGACAGATCATTTTTCTTCCCCAAAAATTGCCAGTGAACGTAAAAGAAGCGAGACACAAAAAACTCATTTATTTTGTCATTTTCTATTCTTCCTCCAGGTCTTCAGATGAAACACCTTCCATTTAATTCTGGGAGACAAATGATTGGCTCTGTAACTGCCTGCTTGCTTGTGGGTGTGTTTCTGTTTATGGGTCTATTCGAGATCTAGCAGCAAATACAAAGTAAAAACCAGTGAATTTCTTATCTTCACATCCAGAAGAGCATGTCTACCTTTAACCATGTTTAATTGCATTTACTAATTACTTGTGCATTTTTATTTTCGGGAACACTGTTGTTTCTTTTTTTCTAAACGTGATCTGCATCATTGGCGCATATTACACACTAAGGACATTTGCGAAAGGCTATTGAATCATCCTGTGTTTGATCAACGATCCTGTGGTTTAATTGTTGATTTTTTTTTCTTTCTTCTATTTTTCCATATTTCACCAATTCCATTC